TTTTTTTTTTTTTTTTTTTTTTAAAATTTCCAACGAACATTGCTCTTGTTGTTTGATTTGGCCTGAACATCTATATCTATACTATATATTAAAAGGCGTTCCATTCAAAGGAACAGTGCCACGTGGAAACTCGTAACCTCCAAAATACAAAGGTCATACATTTATCATCTCAACCAACTTTGATTAACGTCTTAAATTTCACATAATTAATATTATATATTCCTTGATTATATTACTCCGTAAGTAAATTAGAGGTTATATTTTTATTTATATTTCACAAGATTAGTGAATAAATAGATATGAGGTAAAAAATAATAATAAAAAAACAGTAACACCCGAGACAATTCCCAAACCAAACACTAACTATACAAACAGTAGAACATAATCATCAAATTAAAAAAGTACAAATTAGCAACCTGGGGCATTTACAAACTAGTTGATCTTTATAAGGAGAGAAACTTTAAGGAAATTGATATGGTCCGTGCATATTTATTGTTAAGCCCACGAACAAACCCATATTTGAAAAAGTTGTGTCCACTTAGGTTTTTTTAAAAAATAAGACCACAAAAAAAAAAAAACACACACAAATTTTGATTATAACACCACAAAACACAAAAACTATTATTATAACACCGCAAAAAACTCACAAATTTGATTTTACCACCACTTAACGGATTTTTGTATGAATTTCGTTAGTGGGACCCGCCACGTACACGTGTCAATAATCTATTGGTCTAAAAAATATAAAAAAAAAACTAAACCTTAGCCCAGATTAACCACCACCACCGGCAATCCTAACATCCACCGCCAGCGGCCCCAATCCCCATCCCATCCCCACCACCGGAATCTCCAGCACCCGATCACGAGCCGTCTCTGAAACACACCAGCCCCATCACCACCACAAAACTGGCGCTAAAACCCATGGAAGCCGAAAACTAATGATGAAATCCACCGAATTCGACCATGGAAACCAACGAAGTGAACCCTTCACCCTCAAACGACCAAAATCGACCATGGAAACCCAGAAAGGTCAATTTCCATGGTCGATTTGGCCATTAAGGGTGGAGGAAAGGGGGGTTTTCGCAGTGGTCAGCGCTGGTTTGGTCTTTGCGGTGGTTTGAAAAGCTTGGGGTGGTTTTTGAGAAGGGTGAAGGGGTAATTGGTGGAGTAGGCTGTTATAGGGGTGGTAGTTTGGCTGGTTCGTCGATTTTTGTACGGGTAGGACTGTAGGAGGTTCTGGCGGCTGGGGTAGGTGGTGCCGGTGGCAGGGCGGGGCTGGCTGGGTTAGGGGTTAGTTGTTTTTTTAATTTATTCATTTAAACCAATAAACACTTGACACGTGTCTTCTAAGGGTCCCACTAACGAATTTAATCCAAAAATCCGCTAAGTGGTGGTGAAATTAAATTTGTGATGTTTTGTGTGTGTGTGTGTGTGTGGTGTTATAATAAAAGTTTTTGTTTTGTGGTGGTATAATCAAAATTTGTGTTTTTTTGTGGTGTTATTTTCTAAAAAAACCTCCACTTTATAAGGCTAAAAGATTACCCCCTCATTGCCTTATGATTTTGGTTATATAAAGTGGACACTTCACACTTATAGGGAAGGGTGTGGCCCAAACATGTTCATCATCTATTATATCATAAAAAAATTTGGCCATGACAATTAAAGCTAAAGTATCATACTACTCTTTTGATGGAGTTTTAATTTCTTTATGCTACCTTTCAAATGTGCCTGATTGGTTATGCTTTTTTTATATGAATATCTCCTTTATTAGTAGATTTGACTTTGGTGTTTGCAAGGGTATGAGTTGTACCAAATATGCAAATTAATTATGAATTTGATTGTAAAAGTTATAGTATTTTCTCTTAATTTGTGGTTTACATATCTTTATTATTTGTATATGTTGTATGACTGTTATTTAATGATATTATTATTTTCCGTTAAAAAAAATGGTGTTTGAAATATTGTCTGATCTACCACCTATTGCAACATCTTCTCTAAATATATTTTTTTTTTCTGATTTAAAGTCATTAAAGTTGGCTTTGAAAACTGGTGCTTGGGTATTTATAGAAAAACAACCAAACTAGTGCCACCTATCGACATAGGTGTCATGTAGACTTAGTAGGCAACAACGGCCTACATGGTCAAAAGCAGCTATCCACGTGGCTGTAATAGGAGTTGTTATGGAAAGCATGCCCATAGAAGTAATAGTAGTAAAATGACAGCTTGGCGTACACAAATTTAGTTTGGTTTATGCTTCCAACAACTTTTTAAAATGCTAGATATGTGTTGATTTACTAAGCCTTAGCTTGCTATGAAATAGAAAATTTGTCCTCTTAGTTCAACAATCATCATCTCATATCATATAACTAATATATAAAGCTAAACTTTTAGCCAATATACGAGACAATGACATTTGGCATTTTAACTTTTCGCCAAATGTCGTGCCACATAGGCAACAGTTAAATATTAGTATGACAGGTAAGATTTATTAGGATATATTTTTTATAAATGAAAAAGTTGTATTTTTTTATCAGGATAAAAACTTGAACATGTAGAATAAAAAAAAAAGGTTAATTTAGAGTTTATTTTCAATAGATTTATAAGATAAAATTATTGATTTAGAATTTTATTTTTGATAAAATAGAACAAATTTTTTGCTTATTATATTTTTGGCTAAATTTCTATTATATTTCAAGTTTGTTTTATTTTAAATTTTTTTTTAAATTGAACATTTTCACCAATATTATTATTAGTTATTACGTGCGTACTACATAATTAAAATCGTTACAAAAATACATTAATTTCTAACCAATTTTGTAAAATGATATATTTTAAAACTTGGTGTATAGATAATAAGTTTTAAAAACGACCCGAGTATCACACGGGACACCAAACTAGTGGTTATTGTAAAGTCGGGTTATTTTGCCTCTTCATATGGTATGGTTATGGTGTATATTTTACTTGTATTGTTATGTTTTATGCATGTCAATTTTAGAACGCTAATGGAAAGAGAATAATTCACTTTATTTCACTCAAGCATTAAACTTTTCATGACAGTTGAAGGTCTCAAAGCCACAGGAGTCCTGCTAATTAAAAGTTTGTTTAGGATATATTCTTGTACGTGATATCTTGATGAGTTCTATCTTTTCTTTTTTGTTCATCTCTTTTTTACAAGAATCTTATTAGGAAAATATATATATATATTTTTTCTTTTGAAGCTAAGTTTTTTCAATTATTTGATTAATTCTACTACTTTTTTTTTTTGTTAATTTTTGATTGGATAAAAAATCTAGAATATTATGATGATTTTGTTTTTGACAAAAAAAAAAGTCATTTATTTGTTTTTAATAGAGAATTAATTTCCGTAAAATATTTTCCTTCTAAGTTTAAAATATATTTGTATGAGAATATCTACAGATATTCTCTATTTATGTCAATAAATATAATAATGTTAACCATGGTATGGAACGTTTATAATTTTATAAATTTAATCTTAAATAATTCTTGATTATTTTTTCAAGTATTAGCATCCATACCATCACTTTTTTTTTTTTTTTTTTTTTTTGCAGCATGTGTACTACTAAAGCCTACAGGAGAATAAAGAGCAAGGAAGATCGTTTAAGTTTACTTCCGATGATATTCTGGCCAATATACTCTCTCGTCTCCAAATCGATTATGCTGTTGCCACCTCCGTCTTATTCCATCGATGGCAATACCTTTGGACTGGTGTCACCACTTTCAAATTTGACAGTGATGGACGTTACGTTCCCGAAATAGCCTCAAATAAATTCTCCACTGTTGTCGTCGACATCGTTCGACAACTGACCTCTCAGACACTCCGTGTTTTCAAACTTCAGTTAAGTTCTCTGTCCAACTTATGTAACCCTAGTGTAGCAGACGCATGTTTCCAAGAAGTTTGTGGCCGAAACGTGGAGCAGATCATTATTGAAGTGGAAAATAATAATTTGTTTCTAATTCCCGCGTTTCTGTTTTCTTCCCAGTACTTGGTAGTTTTGATATTAAGAGGTATGATCAAGTTTAATTTGCCAGAAAATACAGATATTCAACTTCCGAATTTGAGGAAGATTAGTCTAAACTATCTTGTTAGCGTACCTCATCAGTTTTTAGGGAGTTTATTTAGGTCTTGTCAACGTTTGATCGATGCAGATTTGATTTTCGACGACTATGGATATTGGAGATATATAACCCAACCTGAACCCCAGACTTTACATAAAAAAGAAGCAGTTATACTTGTCATTAGTACTACTTTTTATAAATTTATCAAAGAATAGTGCGTGAGCGATTGAGCTCCCCCTAGTAGCCGGCCCTGTGCTGCATGCTTGTGTTTTGCTCCATGCCTATATATAAACTATTATCATTATATATGATGATAATATTATTAACTACTCCTGCTTCTTTTTGTTTATGACGCTTTGGCCATTAGTCTTTCAATAACGTAACAAGCAATCATGAACGGAGGTTGTAGCTTTCACCTTTACTAATATGTATTATGTGTAACTCATATGATTGTTGCCACTTATTTTTTAACTTTTAAGATTGTTCCAAAAAATTACTCCTTATATTAAAAAGCTATTGGATATTTGGATTACGTTTGTTATCCTTATAACGCGGTGATGACCTCTTTCAGTACGGCAATAAAAAGAAAAGATGGTGCAAATTACTACAAAGTACAAGCAGTACAGTGTTATTTTGAATTTTTTTTTTATCAATATCCTCTCCGTCCCTAATATTTTATCTTATTTAATTTTTTATAGTTTTCAAGACGTGTTTTAAAACACTTTTATCTCTAATCTTATACGAAAAAAACTAGACGTAAAAATATATACAATGAGACGAAGCAAATATAATTTCACATGACTATATTATCTTTATAGCGAGTCAAATATTTTAAAGGCGGCTAAAACATGTACACGACCGTGTTTGGTATGACAATAGCATTAAATGTACCAGAAACTAAGGAATAATTTTCCAACTGTAAGGTCATCCAAGTAAATCCTACCACAAATACTTGGCATCCAAGTACATACTACCACAAATACTTTTTTATAAATAGGCAACATTTCCTAGCAAAATCATCAAACAAATTATTACAGTACGTAAATCCTGAAAAATAATAACTGTAAAAACTAGTTGAGAAAAATGGAGAGCAAGAGTATTATGGTGATGGTTGTGGTGTGCCTTGCACTGGCAGTCGGCACGGCCGCACAAAGTGCTAACGTGAGGGCAACATTCCATATCTATAACGCACAAAGTATAGGGTGGGATTATAACAAAGCGAGTGTGTATTGTGCAACATGGGATGCTAACCAGCCTTTGTCATGGCGTCAAAAATATGGTTGGACTGCCTTTTGTGGTCCTGCTGGTCCTACTGGTCGAGCTTCTTGTGGCAAGTGTCTCAGGGTAAGTATTCTCTATTCATGCTTTTTTGTTGTTAAGTTTGGAATGGTTTGAGTTTCATGATTGGTTTAAAGTTTAATATTCTATTAATTAAAATAAATCTAACAAGATATGTACTACATTTTTTGTACGTTGTGATAGATTGTCAAAAGTAATTATAGCATATATATTGCAATGATCAATTGGCTTTATTTTGGAACCTTCTTTCGCCTTGTTTGTGGACCAAATTATCTTCCTCATTTGGGTTTTCAAGGCCCATTTAGTATTATCTCAATAAATATCCTTCGTATATTACAATGAATAAAATGAAATGATGAAGTATATACTTCAATTCCTCTGATAGATATTGACTTCTATGCTACTAATATAATGCACAACTTTAATCGTTAATATGTTTAACTTTCAATACATAAAAACTACAAGAAACTGATAGTTTAAAGTACAAATGGGAATACTTTTAATATTATAAAATAAGGGGAAAAGGGAGAAGATTAGAGAGAGATGTAGATGGTAATTGTATTGTCTATCCTTTGATTTGTCCATGCTATATATATATACATAATGTAAGTATGTAACCTTCATGAAAATTAAGATTCCATTTAAGCGGGGGTTACAATAGAGGTAATTACATATGGGGGTTACAATGGGTGGCATAATACTAGGGAGTTACAAATGATAATGAACATCCACATAGAATATATTTTGTAACACTCCCCCTTGGATGGGCATTATCTAAAATATATTTAATGCGCATATATGCTGCCTCATTAAAAACCTTTCCAGGAAAAACCCAGTGGGGAAAAAAAACCATGGATAAGGGAAAAAGAGTGCAGCGCGCAATTACTCCCCCTCATTATTATATCACTGAAGATCTTTGAGACGACGCAATCTAATACGATAAACTAACTTTTAAAGGTTGCGGTTGGAAGAGCCTTAGTGAATAGGTCTGCTAAATTCTCACTTGAACGAATCTGCAAAACATTTATATCTCCATTCTTCTGAAGATCATGAGTGAAGAAAAATTTGGGTAAGATGTGCTTTGTTCTGTCACCTTTGATGTATCCTTCCTTAAGTTGAGCAATACAAGTTGCATTATCCTCGTATAAAGTTGTCGGTGCCTCTTTCCCAGATGATAAACCACAAACTTTCTTTTATAATGTTAGTTTGTGTGCAATCAGAACCATTACATATGCAGGGATCAATGAATCAGATTAAATAACCTGCATCTGCAAAACCAATCAAATTTTCTTTGGACAACTTTGGGAAAAATAAACCCATATCCTTCGTACCTTGAAGATAACGAAGTAAATGTTTAATCCCATTCCAATGCCTCCGGGTTGGACATGAACTAAACCTTGCTAATAAATTAACTGAAAATGATATGTCGGGTCGTGTATGACTTGCAAGGTACATTAGTGCTCCAATTGCACTAAGATATGGTACTTCAGGACCCAAAATTTTTTCATCATTTTCCTGAGGTCGGAATGGATCTTTCTCTACTTCAAGTGATCTTACAACCATAGGACTGCTCAATGGATGTGTTGTATCCATAGAAAATCTTTTAAGAACCTTTTCTATGTATTTTGCACTACAAGAATAAGGTTAAATAGCGACGGAAATTTTCCCTTGCAAAAAGGCCAAATTCCGTCGCAAATAGCATTTCCGACGGAATTCTGTCGTAACTGTCCGTCGCAAAACGTTTCGTAGGAAAAAAAAGAATTTCCGAGAGAAATTCCGTCGCAAATGTCTTTTGCGACGGAAATACCGACGGAATAACATCCGTCGCAAGAAAATTTGACTTTCAAGTATTATCCGTCGCAGATTTACGACGGAAAAATCCGTCGTTGAATAATAACTTACGACGGAAAAATCCCTCCCTGAAGGTCAATATTTGCGACGGAAAATTCCCTTGCTAAAATATTATTTGCGACGGAACAATCCCTTGCTGAAATATTATTTGCGACGGAAAATTCCCTTGCTAAAATATTAATTGCGACGGAAAATTCCCTTGCAAAAATATTAACTACGACGGAAAATTCCCTCGCTATTATATTAATTGCGACGGAAGTTAAATCCCTCGCAAACTTTTAACTTTTGCGAGGGAATTTTCCGTCGTTAAGGATTGTGTCAGCAACGAAATATTCTTCATTTTTCCGTCGCAAATCAATTTCGACAAACTAAATATTAATTATTTCCGTCGCATAATATATTTCACAAAGCCAAAATTCTAGTTGTCCAGCATTAATAACCTATGTTCCTGCACCTAATACCTGTGAAAATTAAAATCATAAACCAATTTTGGAAATATAAATATATATATTTCCACAAAAGCTATTCTGAAGTTAAACATATCTAAAAGCTACATAATGTATAGTAATTCTACAAAAGCGGGAAAATCATCAAATGCTACATAAATTCTAATTAACTACTTGTCCGTACTACATAAACCTAAGCTAGGCTAAAAAACTGCAGGGGTACCCTGGCTTGCTCCTCCACTACCCGGGTCATCCCTAGGGTCTTGTCGATGAGGCTGAATGGTGGAACAGGTGTCGTTGCCAAATCGTCTGATGAAGTCATTCCACCTCTCCTCAGCTCTCCTTTCCATTTGGGCTACTTCAGCTTGAATTTGAGCTTGTATCTCAACTTCCATTTCACTTCGAAGTTCACTTCGTATTTCACTCCGGAGTTCATTGCGTATCTCACTACGAAGAGCCTCCACCCTATGGTCCATCTGGTCTTGCATCTGACTAACAACAGACGGTGTGTACTGTTGTGAAGACCTAGAACCTCGACCCGTCCGGTTGCCAAAGTACAGCTCTGCACTTTGGCCAAGTCCCCTCACTCGACCCTTCTTGTTGAGACCACCCACACTCTCCCAAAACAACTCATTAGGACTCTTTTTAATCCCTTGAGTGGTGGCTTCTTCAACATTCTTCTGGTAGTTCTCCTACAAGAAAGACATTACACAATAATATATAGTTTAAACAATTACCCAACAACATAATTTACAAGTAAAGAAAATAAACATATAAGTGAAGACTTGAAATCACATAAAAGTAGCAAATTTATAAGTTTTTGGGTCCATATCCTCAAAATGAAGCCATTTCAAGCCAAAATGGGTACTTACATGCCTATTTTCTTTATTTCTTAACTTTTAAATTCATTCTTTCTCAAACCATCCCATATTTACATATTTATAAGAGTTTATGACTTGAAATCACATAAAAATAGCAAATTTATAAGTTTTTGGGTCCATATCCTCAAAATGAAGCCATTTCAAGCCAAAATGGGTACTTACATGCCTATTTTCTTTAATTCTTAACTTTTAAACTCATTCTTTCTCAAACCATCCCATATTTACATATTTATAAGAGTTTATGACTTGAAATCACATAAAAGAAGCAATTTTACTAAGTTTATGGTTCCATATCCTCAAAATCAAGTCATTTCAAGCCAAAATGGGTTCTTACATGCCTATTTTCTTTATTTCTTAACTTTTAAACTCATTCTTTCTCAAACCATCCCATATTTACATATTTATAAGAGTTTATGACTTGAAATCACATAAAAGAAGCAATTTTACTAAGTTTATGGTTCCATATCCTCAAAATCAAGTCATTTCAAGCCAAAATGGGTTCTTACATGCCTATTTTCTTTATTTCTTAACTTTTAAACTCATTCTTTCTCAAACCATCCCATATTTACATATTTATAAGAGTTTATGACTTGAAATCACATAAAAGTAGCAATTTTACTAAGTTTTTGGGTCCATATCCTCAAAATCAACCCATTTCAAGCCAAAATGGGTACTTACATGCCTATTTTATTTATTTCTTAAATTTTAAACTCATTCTTTCTCAAACCATCCCATATTTACATATTTATAAGAGTTTATGACTTGAAATCACATAAAAGAAGCAATTTTACTAAGTTTATGGTTCCATATCCTCAAAATCAAGTCATTTCAAGCCGAATTAATATCCTCAAAATCACATAAGCAAGCAAATGTACTAAGTTTAATGGTCTATATCTTTAAAGTGAAGCCATTTCAAGCCGAATTAATATGTTTAAAGCCAAAATTATATTAAAGTTGTTACCGCAATGTTCTTGACTTTGGCATTTGCTGGCACCTTTCCTTTCCCAGGGATCTCCTTGAAGTGTGTCTTCATGAAAAGATCATGTGCAGTTGGTAACTGGCCATTGTTTTTCGCCGCCTTTGAACGTACATGCACCAAACCAAATTAAGCTTATCATTTCAATGTAACCATAATTGTTGTCTTTTTCAATTGCCTAAAAAACAAACACACCATCCTTTTAGCATGTTGTACAGATGAAATTGAACCCTGGTAATGGGTTGGCTCAACCACATTGTCCATCGATCCGCCTCTTCTGTTCTTCTTGTTTTGTGCGGACCTCTTCTTGTAGTCTTCATCATTTTCCAAAACGTCCATCAAATCCTTGTGGACTTCATCGATCATCCATCTTGGCTTCTTACCGTTCATCCTGTGTGTGACTGCGTGAAACATGTCCTTCAGCCGATCTGCGAACTTGACTTCGAAGGTTCGCTTCACGTGGTCGTTTAACTCAGGTGCCCATGTGCATTGTTTCTGCATATGAAAAACATTTAAAATTATGAAACATAACTCCATCAATACATTTAGTAATACATGCATAGCTATAAGTATAAAATGTCATACGCAAAACAAGTTCCACCAATGATCCTTCGTCTTCTTATCAACCTCTCCGTAATTCCTCCAAGCAGCTCGATAGTAACCTGTTAGGGTGTTAGAGACGGCGTTTCTCACAGGTTTATCGTCAAACCTATTTTAATGTGAATCATGAACAAATAATAAATAAATAGTTTATGTTAGAGTAATACATAGGTCAGTGATAAGAAATATGGGTAGAAAGGGAATGAAATTACAACTACATACATACCAGCAAGTGGCAGGGTCTAATACCACCAACTTAGAAGACTGTGAGGCTTGTTGCCCCTGAAGCTGTTGCTCATGATGATGTATCTGCATTTGTGTTTGAGGATCCTCATTGTCACCCAAATCTGCCGCGTCCTCCACGTCCACCATTTCCTCGTCGTCATCATAAATGACAACTTGCCTTTTCTCCTTTCCCTTATTTTTCTTTGATGATTCTCCTTTTTTCCCTCCCACCATTTCCACCTGAAAAAGATGTCAGTCACATGCCATGATATTATTAACATTATAAAAATTACAAGTATAATGAGATGTAACAAGATTAACAATAAAACGACAAACTCTTTAATTGATTTTACAATGACAATCAAATTCAACCGACAATTACACAACTACAAGCAAATTTAAGTATTCATTTTACAGTAACAAATTAAATTCGATCTCCTAGTCATGACTTTCATCGCTACTATCACTACTGGCATCATCACTACTATCATCTAAAACAACATCGATCTCATCATCCTCGTCACTATCACTAGAGTCGACACTTGATTCATCATCTTCATCGCTTGAGATTATTAAGCCACCATCATCATCTTCGTCATCATCCTCAACTAGGTCATAGTCAGGAATGTCATTCGGTGGACAAAGCATTGCATGGACTTGTGGAGACGGTGCCTGCATAAAATCAAGGTCCACTGGAGCATCAACCACTGACCTTGCTTGTGTTTTAAACACAGCCCACCATTGAACTCGATCTCTTTTTAGGCTTGGGTAGGATGTGTAGTACACTTGGCTCACTTGATAAGATAATACGAAGGGATCATACTTGGGGTATTTCTTAGTATGACTCACTTCGACTAGCTTGTATTGTTCATGTATGTTCATACCCCTACCACAATCCATCCAACTACACTTAAACAAAATAGTCTTGTACTCTTTTTTTGGACCAGTGTAGACAAGTTCAATTATATCATCTAGAATGCCAAAGTACTCTCTACCATCATCACTAGACACACATACACCATAATTCATCGTGGACTTGTGTTTGCCATGGGAATGTGTATGGAAATTAAATCCACCAACAAAAATCTGCCTCCAAGTTCGAACACGCTTGAAAGGACGCATGCACAATGCTTGCAGGACATCTGAATTTGGTTTCTCTTCAACCACCTATTTACGTCACAATTCAATAATTAATTAAAGTGAATTGCAAGATCTAAAAAGCATATTTAAAGAGCTAGAACATTTCTATCACCTTATGGTGAAACCAATCAGAGAATTCGGTGTCACATTTCTCCATAACTTCTTCTCTACGCAAAAACGGTCGGGAACTAAGAACGTAGTCCTCAAACTTTCTATTAGGTCAATGATACAAGAGAAATAAGTAATTCAACCATTTTAATTCTTCAGAACTATGAATAAAATTCATTCTTTAACACATATACCTTTCGTATTCACCAAGAATGTCGCAGTTTTGTAAAACAAACAAATGAGCACACTCGAGTTCTTTTTCATCTAAATACCGAGTTTTACCCTCAGTTGAGACACGACCGGTGTCCACCGAGAACAACTCTGGTAAGTCAGAGTTGTCCATTGTTGATTCCACGTCTACATTTACATTTCGACCGAGATCCCGAGTTTTTGTGTCAACTGACGGCTGAAAGTAATTTGAGCAAAAGTTTGCTATCTCTTCGGTGAGATAAGCATTACATATGGAACCTTCAACTCGAGCCTTGTTCCCAATTTTACGTTTCAAGTGATTAAGGAACCTGCAATTAAATTAGTATAAATAATTGTGTAAATAGGTCATGACTATGAAGGTTTTTTATGAAAGAGGAAGTGAAGGGGACTTTGATTTACCTTTCGAAGGGATACATCCATCTGTATTGAACAGGACCACATAACTTTCCCTCATACGGAAAATGAATAGGTAAATGCTCCATGGAGTTGAAGAATGCCGGAGGGAACACCTTCTCAAGCTTGCAAAGGATTTCAGCTATGTTTTTCTCTAATAGCTCCATGTCACCAACGGTGATTGTGTAACAACACAAATCACGGAAGAATTGACTGATCTCTGTAACCGCATTCCAAATATGGGTAGGGAGTAATTCCCTCAAATCAGTAGGCAACAACCTCTCCATGAACACATGGCAGTCGTGGCTTTTCATACCATGAAGCTTACAACCTTGTAAATCTACGCATCTGCTTAAATTAGAGGCATATCCATCTGGAAAACGCAACTGTTTAACCCAGTCACACAACACTTTTCTTTGAGCCTTATCAATAGCAAATGGGGCTTTTGGCATGTACTCTTTTCCCCTACCGTCCTCTTGCAGATGAAGTTGTGGCCTTTTACAATATTTAGCTATGTCATTTCGAGCCGATGGCGTGTCACATGTCTGTTTTTTCAAATCCATAATGGTGTGGATTAACTGATCAAAGAAGTTCTTTTCAATGTGCATGACATCTAAGTTGTGACGGATGAGCAGATGCTTCCAATAAGGAAGCTCCCACAACGAGGATTGCTTGAACCACCCTTTTTTTGCTCTTTTGAGATGTTTCAATGCCTCCGGCCCATCAATTGCCCTTGGAAGGTGTCTCACACATTCTCACAATTCCTCACCTGACATGATGTGTGGCGGTGAACCTTTTTTGACTTTGGTTTTACAAAAAGCAGTTTTACTATTTCGAAAAGGGTGATCTGTTGGAAGGAATTGGCGATGGCAATCAAACCAAGAAACTTTGCCACTGTGTTCAAGCCAGAATGTTTTGATTTTATCCATACAATAAACACAAGCCTTCTTACCCGCTGTGGTCCAACCAAACAACATACCGTAAGCTGGGAAGTCACTAACAGTCCAAAGGATGGCTGCTCGAAGATTGAAATTTTGTTTCCTCCAAATGTCATAAGTATTTGCGCCTACTTCCCATAATTGTTTCAACTCTTGTACCAACGGTTGCATATACACATCCAAATTGCCCTTAGGGTTCTTAGGACCAGGAACGAGCAACGAAAGGAACATGAATTGTCTTTTCATACACATTGAAGGAGGCAAGTTATAAGGGGTCAAAATGACAGGCCAACAGGAATATTGTCCCCCAAACTTACCATGCGGAGCAAAACCATCTGTACACAAGCCAAGTCGAACATTACGAGGCTCATTGGAAAATTCTGGAAAGCATCTATCGAGGTGTTTCCAAGCTTCATTATCATTAGGGTGCGCCATTGTGCCTTGAACTCGAGGATTTTTCGAATGCCATGTCATTTCCTCCGATATGTTCTTGGTTGCATAGAGCCTTTGTAATCTCGGTGTGATCGGAAAATAAATTAAAACATTCAAAGGCACTAAACTACCTTTAGAAGTCTTTTTGTATCGGTCGCTACCACACACCCTACATGTAGATAGCTGAACATCATCCTTCCAAAACAGCATACATCCTTTTGGACATGCATGAATCTTTTCATGAGGCAACTCCAACCCCTTCACAATCTTCTTCACCTCATAGAATGTGTTGGCCATATTGTTATTGTTAGGAATTGCCTCATTGACCAAAGAAGCAAACCCGTCAACACATCTATGGGGTAAATTATACTCATACTTAAGACTAGTAATTCGAGCAGCCATCTGTAACACAGACAATGAACTTCCTTCGTATAATGGTCTTTTGGAAGCCTTTAACAAATCTAGGAAATGCTTAGCTTGTGCATTAGGCTCCTCCTCTGCCTCTTCTATATGCCCTTGATCTTCATTATGACCAAAAGCATCGAAAACCATTTCATGGTATTCATTTGACGGTCCTTCAGGAGCTCCCGGAAAGCCTTCCCCATGACACGTCCACTCATAGTAATTAGGTATGAAACCCTTGCGGTACAAATGAATTTTAACAGTTTCCGCATCCCAAAGTCGTTTGTTCTTACATTTAAAACATGGACACCTAACTTCATTCGGGTTGCTACTCTCGGGATGGTCTTCCACGTATTTAAGGAATTCATCTACCCCTTTCACAAATTCCGGATTAATAGAATGCCCAACCTTCCTTTCATACATCCAGCTACGTTCTGTTCGTTTCATGATTACAACTTCTACACAAACTCATGAATATGTATAATCACATTAGTCACAACGCGTATAGAATATTCATTAACCATCTAAATGTTAAAAATATGATAATAAGATTGTACATGATGTCCAAAGGTCCTTATCACTCCAACCTAACCCATCCTTGGACATTTAATCACACTAGCGAATGTATGCCAGGTTATCAATTCTATGGAAAATCCGGCAGCATTTCCCTTATGTTCTCCAAGTACACGATGTAGGCTATTAGATAACCCGTCATATGTACCCAGAGAACATTGTAGAGAAATGATTAGCCAGGATATTCCCTAGAATCAATAACAAGGCATACATTCACCACCTAAGTGAGAATAAACGTCCAAAGACAGTCCCAACCGGGGACTATCCAAGACATACTCCTAATGAGTATGCCTTGAACGGGTATCTAGGAAAATGATGATGCAAATGATTCATTCATAAATATATCAAGTAAATATAACACGCTCATTTAAAAATATGCCAAGCAAATTACATAACACAATCATTATAAGTAAACCAAATATATCATAATCATAATTAAATTGATATAAACAATTATATAGTAATCATTACATTTAAAATTATATAAAACAAATATTTTTTTACTAAATTAACTAACATGCATTAAATTAAACTAACATACATTATATTAAACTAAACAAAACTAACATACATTATTAAATAATAATAAATTAAACTAAACTAACATACATTATTATAATAAACTAAATCAATGTAAACTAACATATCATGCGGTACATTTTTATAATAAAATATCAACCTAAACTAACATATCATGTCATACATTATTATACTAAACCAAACAAAATTTACATGTCATGTCTTACATTATTATAAAAATGTCAAACCAAATTAAACTTAACTAACATATCAACCATTAGTATTTATTATAATAAACCAAATCAAACCAAACTAACATTTATCTAAGTCACTAACATGCCAAGTATAAACTAAAATAACAATTTTAGAAATTAGAATGTCACGAACCTATAGATCTGCACTTTTTATTGAGATTCAAAGCAAGGCAAAGATACAAATCCTACAAATATTAACAATTAAACATTAATTAAGGTGTAAAATGTCAATATTTATTTTAAAAAAATGAAAAAATAAGTCAAATTATGTTCAGAGTTCTTACCAGCGGGAGGATGAAGGTGGTGGTGGTTCTGGTAGGAGGCGGAACGGTGGAGCCACCTGAAACAAAAGGGGTGTTAGGGTTAAATAAAAAAAATAAAAAATAAAACATAAAAAAAAAATATAATAAAAATACCTCACCGGCGCTGCAGCCGGAATTCTTGGAATGTCGCCGGCCGGGTAGGTGTGACGGCGGCTGCTACAAACCGGTGGTGGCTGTTCACAAGCCCCGGTGGTTAGTGCGAATTTTTTTAAAAAAAAAAACAAAAACCTAACACCGGAGGTTACCGTCGGGGAGAACGGCGGCAGCGGGATCCGGTGGTCAGGCGGAGGCGCGCTCAGGCTGAGGCGACGGTGGCGGTCAGGCGGAGGCGCGTCTTCTTCTCTTTCTCTTTCTTTCTCTCTCTTTCTCCCTTTCTTTCTTTCTTTCTTTCTCTCTCTTCCCCCGTGTTTTTTCCCTGGTTCTTTCTGGTTTGAAACCTAATTTCTAGTTCAAGTATTTGCGACGGAATTTATTTCGTCGGTAATTATTTTCCGACGGAAAATTCCGTCGCAATAAATTTTGCTACGGAATTTTCCGTCGCAAAATTAATTTTCCGACAGAAATAAATTTTGTCGTAAATTTTGCAAGGGAATTTCCGTCGCAATTCACATTTTCCGACGCATTTTAGCAACACACTTAATTCCGTCGCTGAAATTAAAGTTTGCGACGGAAAAATAGGTCCGTCGTAAAAAATCCGTCGGTATTAAGCCATTTTCTAGTAGTGTTGATTGATGCACAAGGATTCCATTCTCTAGGTGCTCTATTTGTAACCCTAAGCAAAATTTTGTCTTTCCAAGATCTTTTATTTCGAATTCTTTCTTTAAATAATTGACAGTCACTGAAATATCTTCAGGAGTTCCAATGATATTCAAATCATCAACATACACTGCAATTATAACAAATCTCGATCCAAATTTCTTTACAAAAATACATGGGCAGATAGGATCATTCTTATAACCTTCCTTTGACAAATACTCACTTAGACGGTTATACCACATACGCCCAGATTGTTTCAATCCATAAAGAGATTTGTTCAATTTAATACAGAAATGTTCTCGAGAACTAGATTTTGCTGCTTCTGGCAGCTTGAATCCTTCTGGGAGCTTCATGTAAATGTCATTATCTAGTGGGCCGTATAAATAAGCTGTGACTACATCCATCAAACGTAAGTCAAGTCCTTCTCTTATTGCCAGACTAATCAAAAATCTAAAAGTAGTTGCATCCACCACAGGAGAATATGTCTCCTCATAATCAATACCAGGTCTTTGTGAGAATCCTTGTGCAACTAAGCGTGCCTTATATCTTACAACTTCACCCTTTCCAGTGATATCAAGGGCCACGAATTCAAGTTTGGCAAGGTTTGACATTTTCACTATATAAAATAATATTCAAAATTAGAGCTTATATATATATATATATATATATATATATATATATATATATATATATATATATATATATATATATATATATAAACTTCATAGTTGTTTGATATAAATAGATTCTATCAACATTCACACAGTAAATGACATATATGCAAGAATAAAATAGTCATATAGCATATTCTATGACCTGACAAGTTAATGAATCATAATACTCGTATAATTGAAATTTAAATATTTCATGCTCACTCAAACTATTTACTAATATGCAAATAAAATAAAATTATAAGCAAAATAAATTCAAAAGTCAAAAGTAATAAAGTATCAAGAGGATTATACGTTGGCTATAATTAAGCAGATCATATCAAAAAGTATTTTTCTAATATCTTTTATATTATATACATATGATCAAAGACATACATACTACATCTAAGTTTTATGCATCAAATATCTCAACTATTATAAAAATATATTGATATGTCGTAACAAAGTATGTCGCAAACCGTAATACACAAAATAAAAGAACCATGGTAATAAATTAATAAATTAAAACAATAAACGAAACAATTAACCGTAATATATGGTAGTAAATCTCAACCCATGTGATACCAAATAATTAACAAATAAAAGATGTAATTTAGCACAACAAAACAAAAAAAAAAAAAAAAAAAAAAAAAAAAAAAAAAAAAAAAAAAAACCCAAAATTTCATGATTGTAATCAACGCATGATAAAATAATGATAATTGTAACCAACTCATGCAATATTTATCCATGATAAAATAGTAGCAAATTGTTATCATACCAAATAAGCTATTAGAACAAAATAGCTTAATCAATACAAAGTGAAGCTTAACTCAGTCAACGGGAAAAAAAATAATGTGTACGAAGTAGTGTATATTTCGTCAGTAACTCGGTTAATTGAGGTTGATGCAACAAGCCAACAATATGATCCTCCTTGTTATATTGTTTGATTAATGTTTTCTCCGATTACCGATAATTAAAGTAATGGTGCTGATAACGTATTATAAAATAAGGGGAAAAGGGAGAAGATTAGAGAGAGATGTAGATGGTAATTGTATTGTCTATCCTTTGATTTGTCCATGCTATATATATATACATAATGTAAGTATGTAACCTTCATGGAAATTAAGATTCCATTTAAGCGGGGGTTACAATAGAGGTAATTAAATATGGGGGTTACAATGGGTGGCATAATACTAGGGAGTTACAAATGATAATGAACATCCACATAGAATATATTTTGTAACATTTAACAAGATATCACTTTATTATATGAGCATTATTTATGAAGTATTACATAAGAAATGTTTGACCACAATTTGCAACTAGTCAAATGTGGTCTTCAATGCAAGTCAAACGTTTCCACATTTTTTGTTTACCAGTTACAGATTGTGGTCAAACATTTCTTTATTTAATAGATAGAATAACTACTAAGTGAATAGAACACAATAATAATAAAAATAAAGAAATACTACTCTTTTGCTTCTTGTCAAAAAAAAGAATAGAACACAATAATAATAAAAATAAAAAATAAAAGGTAGTAGTGGAATACGTACTATTAAGTACGAATTATTTGTACAAAAAAATGTTGCTAACAATAGTGATGGCGCAGGTAACGAACTTGGCAACGAACGCCCAAGCAACAGTGAGAATAGTTGATCAATGCAGCAATGGAGGATTAGACCTTGATCAGAACGTCTTTAACCAACTAGACACCAACGGTCTAGGCAAAGCTCAAGGCCACCTACAAGTCAGTTACCAATTTGTTGTTGGCTGCTAAACCAGACACTATCTAATGAGTAATGACTTATCTAGTCAATTAGCCTATGTATCTTTGCTTATGTTTTATGTAATGATATCTAAATCAGCTATTATATGAATAAAAGGATATCTTATTTTATTGTATAATTACGGAGTTTCTTCTTGTGTAAATGGGTAGTATTTCAAAATTTCACAGGTTACCTTGAAAATCATAATATTGTAAAGGAATAGTTAAAGCAAAAACAACAAGAATTCACACATAATTACTTTATTTTTCCTTCACTATAAATCTCTAGGCCCCATTAAAATAAAGTTTGTGAATAGAATTGCGCATAATAGTCAAACTGTCAACAAAACGATGAGATATATTTTAGTAAGGTGAGAATAGTCCATAAAAACTCCTTATTTATGAGAGATATATACAGCTCTAATTAGAAATTAGCAAATGCTAATTAACGCCCCAGGAGCGTTGAATAAGCTAGTTAAAAGTAGAAGGATTAAATTAAAATTAACATTAATTACACCGATCGACGCGTGATTTTTTCATGCTTTCCCAAATTATACCACTTTAGGTAAGATTTTAAATGCTTATCCAACGCCCCGGGGGCGTTCGTTAGCAAGATCCTAGTAAAAATCATTGATGACATCACAAATTAATTAAACTGGAGGGAAAATTTTCACTGAGAACGTGACATGTTGGATTGTATGAGGGTAGATGATGTAAACAATATTTTGTTTTAGTATTAGTTAATTAATAGATTCGACTTTAAAAAAGGCACAATTTTTTTTATAGAGAAAATAGTCATTGCTCTCTTCATTTCGCATTAATTGCAACACTTTTTATTTTTGGTCGTTTCATATTAATTAGTTGCAACACTACTATTTTTGGAATTGACACACCATTATTTTATAACTATATTAGCCTCGTACAATGCGCGATTTTAACAATAACTAATGAGTAGACCGGGCGTTGTCTTGGGTTGTTACTGTTGTAGACGTGCAATCGATAAATTTTTTTAAAGGTTTTTTAAAATTGTAAGTGTCATTGTCAACTAAAAAGGTTTTTTTTAGTACATATATTTTTTTAAATTTAAGCTTGTGGTTTGCATTTATATAATTTTTTTATATATATAATATCATACTTGATAATTGACTTACATGGTGAAATAGTTATCGTTGTTATAAGAGGTTTGAGGGTTCGATCCTACTCCTTATCATTTCCTTTAATTTTTATATGGAGTAACGTTGGTTGCTTGGATGATGTGACATTATTTGAGTGATGATGTGGCATCTTGACATGTCGGGAAGATGACGTGGCGCAATAAAAAAAAGAAGTACGTGGCACATAGACGTTCTTAGGAACGCCTTTTAATATACGTAAACTAGTTTTTTAGCCCGGGCGATGCCCCGGGTCATTGTTTGTATATAAAATATTATAACAAAATAAAGCAATTGAAATATAAGTTGGTGGCTTTATATAAATACTATCGTTTGTTAAATATTTTAAATATAGTTGAACATCAAAATTCATTATTTAATATGCATCAACCTAAATGATATATTGTATCAGTTTGTTTTATTTGTTAAAGTGCTTTTTTTTTTTATTACTTAGTTATCATAATAAATTATTCCTTCTAGTAAACATATTTTGTGGTTAAAAAGAAAAAATCTTTAAAATTATTTTGCATTTTTGGATTATATATTTTAATTAACTATAATCTACATGAATTATGGTTGAGTGACTGATCAAAGAAATGAAACTAATTTTGCAATCATATTGTTGTTAAAATATACACATATAAGTTCACAATTAAAATTTTAGAATTTATGAACATGAATAACACTTTTTAATACAATTTTATCATCATAAGATGTCTTTGGAGCGGTGGTTAGTTAAAGTTTGATACAATTTTATCATCATATAAGATGTTATTGGAGCGATAGTTAGTTAAAGTTTAATTTAATGAATATGAGGTTATGGGTTCAAATATTAATGCTAATAAATTATAAATTTTATGAGAAAACATTGGTGTATAATTATTAATAATAGGTGACATGGCAACACGTGGCAAGATTGACAACACGTGGCGAGATTACAATTCATGCCATTGAATATATATGTGTGTGTGTGTGTGTGTGTATAGTCTGACCTTCCATTGATTTCTCCAATGAAAAGTGTGTAATTAGTCAAATTAAATATAAAATCTGTTAGGAAAATGTATACTTACTTTACCTTTTTTAAAATTTTATTTATGTTGAAAAATAATAATAATGTCATAATCAGTTTTGGCGGGAAATCTAATATATCTAATATATAAATAAAGCAAAGGTATATTTTTTACCAATTAAAAATTAGATTTTTATTTTATTTTTGAATTAAAAATTTCACTTGCCACCTAAATAAAAGCAACGAATGAGATTTAAAAAATTTGTCATGTAGGTAAAAACAACGAATCATAATTTATTAGGATTTAATATATTTTAAAAAAAACTAAAAAGTATCTTTTAAAAAATCATCTTTAGATATAGGATTTATATATCTAAGATAATATTTATAGTTTTTATGATAAGAAGTAAAAAATTTTCCTTAACTATAATTAAATTAAAATATGTGATGTCTACCACTATAAATTGACGCATCCTACATCACCAATCATATCAATAAAAAAATCAAATCAAGTGAATTTTGTGTCAGTTAATCCATGTTAAATGTATATTTGTAATTAATGCTTACATTGTGTTTATTTGGAATACTTAATGATTATATGTTTATCTTTTATTTCAAGTTAACTTAATTTTTATTTTTAAATACAGGGAGATTGTGTTCATGCCCCGCCAACTTTGTACAATTTCTTCCAAAATTAATTGAAATAAAGGTTTACGCCATTATATACTTTTCAATCGTTACAAATAAGAAGCAATATCGCACGCATTGTTAGTGACACCAAAATAATGATTTAATTATTCAAAATACTATTATTCGGGCGATTGGGGACGATGAAAAAATTCCAATGCATAGATTTGATTTTGTACAATTAAAATTTTTAGATCAATTTCACAACAATTTTTCACTTCCCGATAAATATATATATATTGATTTATTTTATAAGACTATAAAGATTAATTTCATATAAATTTAATATTTGCTAACATGTTTTATTTATCCTTTTTGATTAGTTGGTAGAGATATAGGTGTGAACGAAGTTAGTGATTATCGAAATAGAAGATAATTAGTATACATGTTGTTATTATTTTAATATTTTTATTTTTTTAAAAACAACGAATAATGATTTAGGATTTAAATCATAAAAAAAAATTATCTTTTTAGATTAAAGATTTTATCATAAAATATCATAATTACAATTTTTTTTTGAGAGATATCATATTAATTAACAACCACAAATAAAATACAAAGCAACAATAAATAAAGTGGCATTATAAATTAATCCCTCCGTTTTTAAATACTTGCTCCATTTCTCAATGCGCGGAGTTTTAGGAGAAATTGGAGAAAGTAATAAAATATGAAGGTAGTGGGATAGTTGAGAAAATAAAAAATTGTAAAAAACAAAAGTAGTGGAAGAATAGGAGAAGAGAGAGTATTAGTTCGGTCCACTAAGTGTGAGTAACGAATTAAATATTGTAAATGTTTTCCAAAAAAGGAAATGGAACAAGTATTTAAAAACGACCGGATAAAAAAAGTGGAGCAAGTATTTAAAAATGGAGGGAGTACATTAAAAAAATATACTTTTGTAATAGGCAATAACACTTTAATTAAAATAAAATGTATTTTTGTGTCTGAAATCATTAAATAGTAAAATAAATCAAATTATAAATTTATAATAAAATAAATCAAATTATCATTCACAATGTGTATGATGTGGTGATTAACGCCTAATTCCCAACACGATCGAATTTTTCCGCACGTTTCCGGCTCTTTCACGAATTGAAAAAAATTATATATGTAACTTTTAATTATTTAAAATAACTTAATGGGTATTATTAAAGAAGACGTACATACACACAAAATTTAAAGATTGGTCTAGATGCATGCAACTATGTCTAACTTGTAAGAAAAACATGTTTCAACAACCCATGAAGAGTGTTTTGCTGTTGAGGTGTTGAAAGGGATTTAAACCAAACAAATCTATAGTTGTACGCTTAGTCGGTTGACTATCCTACTAGTCACCAACATAACACTTCTTAAAGTTTCCAGAGCCTAATGTTTCGAAGTAATCTGACGTGTATATACCATTAGGGTTTAATAATGGGATAAAAGGGGAAAAATGAAAATCGAGGGAAAATTAAAGTGGTCACATGACTTTTTTTGTTAGAAAAATTTGGTCGTCAGAGTTTGGTGAAAGGACTCTCCCTACAACCCAATGTCGATAAAAGGATCTTTTGTGCCACATTTTTTAGAAAATGACCTTTCTCACAAAGTCGATCACTTAAAAGGACCTTCCTCGCAAATTTTCCTAAAATTAACTTATTTTTGCCGCACTTATTTTTACCGTATTTATTTGTTATTGTTATATTGTATTCAAGGTGCAACCACTTTATCTAATACAAGTATGATCTAAATTAAAACCATAGGAAATGATTTAGACTTAAATAATTTAACCTTGTAATTAAGACAAAATCAATCTTAATTGAACGTTATCAAGATTAAAACTTAGGTCATGTTTAATAATAATTTTTGTCACACTTTATTATTTTTATGTTGCACCTAAATTTAAAGTTTGATCAAATCAGATAATCAGATCAGATCAAACCAAATTATATTATACTATATCAAATTAAATTAAAATAAGCAAAAATAAAGCAAACAAAACATGTCATTATTAGACTGTGATTGAAACTTCTTATACTTTGTCATAAGTATTATTAAAAGTTCTTATACCTTATTTTTGCACACCTAATCAAACTCATTGAACTTATTAGAGCTCATAACACATATTAAAACTTATTGTACTTATTTTATTAATTGATTTGAAACTAGAAAGTGCCCATGTTATTCCCTTAGTTCTATTTTTTTTAAAGAAAAATATGTATTGTAGAAACAAATTGTAGGCAATTATTTTTTATTTGATAAATTTTAGTTGGCTTGGAGATTTTTATCATATCATATTATTTATATACAAAGTACGTAC